TACACAGAGGTTCGATATAGTTCTCCTTTATAACCCCGCCGAGCCGCTTAACGACGGCCGGGGATATAAACGTATAAGACGCTCTATAATCTAGAAGGGCGCGAACGGATATATTCTTCCCTAGGAGCCCTAGTATAGCTCCGTAAAACAGCAGAGAGTCTCCTGCTACGTTTAGGGATATATCCTTGCGGGCGTGTTTGTTCCCCTTCGGGTCTAGTCGGTCCTCGATCGGTATATCGGGAACTTTCGAAGCTTCCTAGAGGCGGCTAACGAGTACTTTAATATTGTTAGGCCTCTCTAGTTTCCCGACGGCTTCGATCGTTCCCGTTTAGGTCTCTCTTTCTTCGGATTTAGGCAGTTCCTCTTGAAATACCCTTCCTTTCTATAGCTAAAGTATTTCTTCCCCCTCCTCTATACCCGTCTGCTTAGTATTGCAGATAGATCTATCGTATTAGCGTCTACGGCCTATTTAGCGTAATAGCCCGCGAGCGTAGCGCCCTCTTCGTAGCTTTTAAAGCAGTTAATAATCTCGTGAAGATCGGTAGGAGGATTCCGCTCCTCTATCTATCGTCGCTATAGGTACGTTTAGGCGCCGTCTCGAAGGAACTCGACGAAAATAGCGTCCGGAATTGCCTATTCGTATTCGATCGCGGCCTGCCGGAGCTAAGTAGCGTACTCTATAAAGGGCTGTCTCGTACCTTGTCGGAGTATCTTGAACCGATCCTATCTCTTCGCGGTACTAAGGTGCTCCGAAAACTCGCGGTTAATCTAATCCTTATAACCCTACTAGGTCGTGATAGCGGTTTCGTATCCGTTCGCTACCTAACGTTCGTAGCTACGCTAACCTCTTTAGGACTTCCCCGTTAGAGCACCGCTAGCGTATATAACCTTTTCCTAGTCGGTTAGCTCTACGGTAGATAACTCGGCTACCTACTAGAAGTAACGCTCGTAATCGTAGAGGTATTCGCGTGCTATATCCTCTTAGATCTTGCTACTATAGTCCTGAATCTTGTTAATCGTCTTTAGAAGGACCCGTTTCTTCTCCGATTCTGCACGATCGCTCGTAGCCGCTCTTAGCGCGGCTATTAAGGTCGCCGCCCTTACGTTCGTATCTGTTAGTTGCAGGAGGCGAACGGTTTCCCTAATAAGGCGTGCTATCGCTTCTTAATCCTACGCGCCTTGCTATAAATAGAGGTACTACTAGCCTATCTCGTATAGTAGTAGGAGTAGCGCTACGGTTATTAACGAATCCGGTAGGTCTTAGGCGTAAGGATTCGGGCCCTATTAGTCAGGACCTTAGACGTTCGGGTCCTGGGGCTCGTAGGTTTAGGCCCGGGAGGCCTGTTCGTCGGTTAGGGTGTACGGAAAGTATTCTATAGTGATTAACTGTTCAATTCGAGAGTGAAAGGAGGCTTATACTAATCCGTTCGAAGTATTCCTTTCCGACACTCTCGTAGTTTTTACTTCAGCTCGCTTATAGCCCTAACTTCCGGCCGTGTGCGAGTAGAAGGATACCCTACAGGAGGAATCGCTCGCGATTAGGCCGCTTAGACCCCTTTTCGCTGCGTTAGTTGCCTTTCAAGGGAGAAGCCCGCACTACGGTAAGGGTTTAAGGTTACTATAATGTTATTCGAAGCCTTCTCTCTTGACGCTTTCGCTCGCAATAAGGGCCCTCTAGTACCCTTCTATCGCGCGATCCTCTCCGTCGATCGTGAGTTCAGATCTTCTTAGGAGACCCTTTTCGTGAGCGGTCTCCCCCGGGCGGCCGTAGAGGGTCGCCCGTTTTTAAGGGTTTGCTACTATATATAATCTTGGTAGAGCATGTTTTGTTATATTCGTAAGGAAATGGGTCTAAATGAGTGTAATCCGGTAGATACCGGCAGAATTCTGGGTGCCCGGGCCGTACGGATGATGTAATCAGGCCACACGTGGCCGTCAGGATCACACCCTGTTTAGTAGCAGATTCCTAGAGGGCCTTCTTCGCAAGGTCACGGGTTTCATAGAATTGTGGTGGGTCTGGTGGTTATACTTGTAGGTGGTAAAATAGACTGTGAAGAATCCATGGTTAGTAGGGGTGGGGGGGGAGGAGGACTAGTACTAGAAGAGAGAAGTTAAATTAAATTAAATTAGTGTGTGGGTCATATGACTTTCCTAGTAGGAGAAGATAGAAGAGAAGGTAGAAGGAAAGGATGCGTGTATATAAGAAGGAAGGGGGTGGTTGAATTCGTAATTAACAGGTGTGAAAGGCTTAGCAGTAATCAGGCCGAAATCAGGCCCCAGGTGGTGCCGCCAGCGTTTTCGGGTGGTGCCAACAGCGCCACCCTTATTGAAATAGAGGATGAAGAAAATTCTGTGCGGGAGCTTGAGATAAGAGATATAGCTTCAATTTGTACTTCAGTACTTAGGCATAGATCTTAGTAGTCCGATGACTGAGGAAGGGTTTTTTTTTCTACGGCGGTGTATAGCAGATAGGACCTAAGTCCTCTATTATTATGTCATCGTGTACTAGTGCGTTATTTTTTGAGAGGGGAACGAGAAGATCGAGTACCTCAAAAAACAGGGGCACGGTTAAAAATTAGGTCCATCAAAAAAGTAGGTCGCAAGATAAACAGTACTATAGGGCAAGCGCTCTTTTAGGTATAGACTAAGTGTCGACTGAGTGCTTAATAGATACCCTAGATAAATCCTGAGTAATCAATCCGGGACAGATCAGAGAGTAGCCAATCACAATCACTGAGCATTCACTGAGCGCTCACTGAGCGCTCATTGGACCTCACTGATCATCACGTGATAGCACTGAGCAGCTCAGTGAGTCTGAGCCCAGACTGAAATTTACTCAGTGAGCCTGACTCTGAGCGCGCTCATTAAAGCGGCGGCAGCTAAGATAGGAAAGCCCCACCTGGCAGAGGAAAAATGGTACGTATAGTGCCATACATACATAGTCTCTGGTCGTTCCCGATTCGGACGATCTTAGCTCCATTCCGAGTTGTTCGTATGTTACTTGTTATACGGCCAGTCGGCTCCTAGATCCCTCACAGCATCCAAGTATAAACTTTTATTGCAGTAGGGCCTAGACCAGGTCCAGTCACAAGAAAACTGAACTTTAGCCGCAGGTAGACTCGGCCTGGTGTGGGTTGGTGGAAATTATTATCTGCGGTTGAAAACGGCGCAGTCCCCCATGCGTACCAGGGGCAAGGCATATAGAGAGCGAACAGCGATGCAATAATGCTCACGAGTTGAGTAGCAAGTATGGCACTCGATGTGGTTGTTGTCGGTCATGAAAGGACTAAAGTGGAAGGTCTCATGGTCATAGCTACTCCAGCACGTCAGGTCGGATAGAGAGACGAGTACATGGACTCTACAGGAGAGGAGACACCTAAAGTTCATAGTTCAATCGTGGCCATGATCTACAGATCAATGCGCACATATTCTGGCGACATCAATGCATCCAGTACGTAGCGTCCACGCCAAGTTCATCAGCCCCAGGCAAGCAGGTAGTCTACTATTCAGAAGATCAAGTAGAGAAGAAGAAGAAGTAGACTCGTATCAGGTAGTCATCGTGTTGTTTTTGAAGGTATGAATTCCTATTTCATTTTTCCATTGCCACCATCATATGACCTCCACAGTAACAGTGAAGTGTCTGCGCAATGCAGGAAACCCAGAAGCCGAACAAGGAAATCGAACGCTTAGAAGACGAGAGCAGCACCCTTGGTCTTCTTGTCACCACTGTAGTTGAAAAAGGGATCATTAGTCAAGAGTTCTCCACGACATACCCCCAGGATATTCAAGCCTGGTGCGGTGAGAAATGTTGATGAAACATACCCAAGCTCGAAGTGCTTGCAGCGCTTCAGGGCGAGCTGCTTCTTGGCCTTGCAGGCAGTGCACTCGAGACGGAGGACGACCTTCTTGGTGGTCTTGGCCTTCTTGTGGAAGACGGGCTTGGTCTGACCACCGTAACCGCTCTGCTTCCGGTCGTAACGGCGCTTACCCTGGGCGTACAGGGAGGCCTATGTTCAAAGATTCGCACATTAGCGTTTTTTTCTTCCTGTGTGGCTCGAGCGACAGCGCTGTGGTTTGGAGCGGTGCCTCGAGAGGCGAGCGGGAGGGATCGTTTTCTCACCTTGCCAGCCTTGTACTGGGTGACCTTGTGCTGGGTGTGCTTGTGGCACTCTCTGCCCTTGCAGTAGGTCCGGCGGGTTTTGGGAATGTTGACCTGTTCGCGAGATATTCGTGAGCTAGAGTCCGTGCGAAGATGAAGAAATATGCCACTGGAGATTGCTTGTGTCTCATGCGTCTGAAGTTCGAAATGTTGCGGTCGCGGAAAATTGATGTGTAGACAAAAGCGAGTTCGGAAGAGATTTCTTGGATGTGATGGACTCGTGGAGCGGGCTTGTTCTCGGTTTCGTGAAAATTTCGAGATTTCGAGATTTCGTCCCCTCCGTGCGTTTTCTCGCCTTCATTCTCGGTCTCCCGGTCGCACTCCCATCTCAGTCGATGCGTTGATGTCCACGTCGCATTGTCGGAGATTTTCAATCGTAATCCGGTGGCACGGTAGAATACGCAACGCTGGCGAAGATCATTCGGTCGTCATCGGTCACGGCGTCGAGTTCGGCCACGCAAGTTCATCTCCTCCCATTCACACAATATCTCCGCGACGTCGCAACAAGTTTCGATCGATCAAGACTTCATGGCACAGCAACCTGGAGCACAGAAAGTAAGAGCCTTACCATTTTGACTGGGTTGCCGGATAGCGAGGTGGTGGTCGTTGGATGTCGCTTGTCGGAGAAGAACCAGCGGACAAGTGTGGTTGTGGGATTTCGTTCGCTTAGTGCCCTATTCGGTCATGCGCTAAACTTGATTGGGTTACGCCCGCCAAGACTTAGCTGAGTCATCACTCTGAAAGGACCGCATTGCCCGATTGGGAAATTACCCATACAATTCCATTCGGCAGCTAAATAATGTGATGTTCATTCTATTTGTTACGTTAAAGAGAATGGGATTCACGAGAAACCTTCGCCGAGGAGAATACTTTCGCCCTTTCCATACCAGGATCGACCTTTCATCAACTCCAGTCCTTTCTCTTGTCCGACTACCCACTCGCCCCGCGACGGGTTGCCAAATCGCTTCCAATCATCTGATTTTAATTCTCGATTGATGTCCTCAATTGCAGCAACAAGCTCGTGAGCTCTTTTAGTAAAGAAAACCGGCTCCTCAGTTTCATTATCAGGCCATCCAACTGGGCGCACAAATCGTGCAATTGTAACGTGCGCCGATGGAACAGTGTACCGTGCCTCCAGCTGGCAGCCAGCTTCAGTCACGATATCGTAGAGATCGCTACGTAGATGCTGATATGAGTAGCTGGCATTGGACTTCTCGCCAGCTGTATCTCTAACAGCAGGGATGAAGCTTAAAGCCAGCGCTGAAGTATCATAGCTGACAACGGGGCGAATTAACCGGACACGGTGAGTGAGCGTGTAGTTAACGATATCCTGCAAGGACGCATTCTCCTTGAGGAGCCTCTCAAACTCATTCACCTCGGCCAGAGTCCGTGCTGGCAGCATCTCCAGCGTAGTCATATGGAGATGGTCTGAAGGGGCGAGCCAAAGGCCTATAGCCCCGCGTCAGCTTGGCTACCCTGTGTTGCTAGACAGGCACAACTTACATGTGCCGGCTATCGGAGCAAGTATCTGCTGTATGTCATGAACCAATTCTCGGATGTGTTGTGGTGGTCGAGACCAAAGGGACAGGTTATTTCTCGGGTCGACATATTGAGTCAGACCCTGTTTGGCCTCGAGGACTTGGTGGAGGATCTCGTCAAACTGCCATGATCGAAAGTTGGGATCGAGAATGAGCTCTTGAAATTTAGCATTCCGGGCTGTTCGATGCTTTTCAAAGGCTTGTTGGAGCCTTGTCTGCGAGATCAGTCAGCACAGTGGTATCGATGCTAGCTCGCAGTTGCCAAGATTACCGGGTCGTTCTCACACGCGATGATCAACTGCCTGAACACATTTGATTGTATCCGTGCAGATTGCTGATGTGTTTCGATTGTCATGATTGATTTTCTCGGGTGTTGTAGGTTTTTTCTTGTCATTGAAGATGTAGCTGAATTTGCGAGTTGTGGTGTGTCCACTTGAGTTGGGAGGGAAGGAAAATATAGGCAAAACAGATATATATCCACACCCAAGTTGGTGCCGATCCCACCACCTATAGTGCCATGCAACCTTGACCTACGCGATCCATGAGAAGCCCAATATGGACCAAAAACACCCTAAACTATTTTCAAAGGTTTATCTCATTAATTTGAAAAACATTCCCCTTAAATCTCTACTTTACAGTCCAGAGATACCGGGGCCTACCAAGCCGGAGGATTTTGCACAACAATCCATTTCTAGACCAACCTGGTCTGAGACATCATGAATTCTTTAATGAATAAATACGAACCTCCAGGATAACCATACGAGAAAACGAAATAGCCATTCAAACTAACTAAGTATCATACACTATATTACAAAGAATGAGTACCACCAAACAGCCAAAGCCCAGCCTCATTATCAATCAGGCAATAAGGCCGCCGGCCCCACCAAAACCCCGCCAACGCGGCTCTCACTTCCTCTCCATCCAGACCCTCATTGACATACACAACTCCTCTCATCACCGGCACCGCAAAAGCGATCACCTCGTCATCCACCTATTCCTACCCTACTACCAAAACCAAAGCCATACCACCGCCACGATGTTGATCAAGTAAGTGGTGGACCCAGCCTGGCCCTTCGCCCTGCAATTGCATCATCGTCGGCCCGAGACGAGGAACACCAGAGCAGCTTGGCACTAACATTTTCTACTCTCTGTAGGGTCCGCACACTTACCGGCAAGGAGATCGAGCTGGATATTGAGCCTGATTACAAGGTGAGACTTACAGCGCCCGCATACCTAAGAGAACCCCGCGCGGAAAAAGCTCCATCGTCGGGGCCTCACGAGGCTACAAAGCTCCGCTCGCAGCTTCTCATACCCCCAGAGTCACATAGACTGACATGTATTGATGAAAATAGGTCTCTCGGATAAAGGAGCGTGTCGAGGAGAAGGAGGGTATCCCTCCAGTTCAGCAGCGCCTTATCTTCGGTGGCAAGCAAATGTACGTTCCCACCATACACTGTTATAAAGAGCCAGCACTCTAGCTGTTCGCGTTTAAGGTCGTCCAGCTGACATTCTCTTCTTACTTCTAGGGCGGACGACAAGACGGCGGCTGAATATAACCTCGAGGGTGGCGCCACGCTTCACCTTGTGCTCGCCCTGCGTGGTGGATGCGATGCCCTGTAACCAGTTATTCTTCCCCCCTGTTAAGATACCATTTTACTTCGAGCAATGTGATTCAAAATTGAGGTGCTGCACTTGCGCAGGGCCGCTTGCATTCGAGCTGTGCATTCTGTCTTTCCGACTCCGAGAATATCGTGGAGTGTGGAAGCGGTGTTGGGATCTTGATGCCTTGTCCTTTTCATGCGCTGGCAGTTTGTATCGGAAGAGTATACTCTGACGATGGAAAACAGGTCTTACCAAAAATGGAGATCGCTCCATCTGGTTCGTTTTCTATCTACAACTGTCTAATGTAGAGGGCAAGACCGCGCAAGACATGATGCATGCGTCCAAGTTAACCAAAGAACGAACTCCAAGGCGTGCAATATACAGTCATTCCCACCAGCCAGAGACCTGATGCAGCCCCATATTCCATAACCGAGGCTACCTATATCCGATCCCGAATTGCCAAACGAACGCCCAGAAAAATGCATTATGTACATGTGTCAGCGGACAACAGTCCGCGAAAAGAATCGAAGAATTCCAAAATAACAAATGAAAAAACTCGCTAAATCGAAAAGTCAAGACAAAAGGAAGAGGGCGAGAATTAGACGACCCGCCTCTTCTTCGGTCGAAGGAAGATATCAACCTCTGTTCGTTTCCGGGGGATAACTGGACGGGTAGAGGGTTCGGGGCCAGCGTTATCTGCTCTACTAGCAGGCGAGCCATCAAGGCCCAACGAATGAGATAATGATTGGGATTGTGTTTGAGGTGGTGGAGAGGTAGCCCTGCGTTTGGGGATGGCCCTTTTGGCTGGCGATGGAGCTTCCTTGGTTGAGGCGGGAGGGTCATGCGAATTGTGAGTATTAGTCGGGGTAGTAGATGCAGATGCAGTCGCAGACGATGACGGCAATGGCCTGCCAGCCGCAATAGCCTTCAACCTCGCCTCCCGCTCCGCCAATGAAGACGAAACCCGTAGATCAGACGCCGGACGAGTAGACGAAGACGAAGACGCAGAAACCGCTCTTCCGAGCAAAGGCAACCGCCCCGATGTAGTATTCTGATTATCTCGCCGTGGAACAGACTGCTCCACCGGCCGCCGATGCTCCTCAATCAACGACCGCGGCGCCTTCTTAATTTGCGTCGCCCTCGTACTAAGATGCTTCGTCGGCACCGCGAGCGCAGCATTCCTCCTCTGCGGCGCAAAAATAGCCGCCTTCTTCTTCGCCTCTGGCGCTGTATCTCCCGACCGCGGAATATATACACCCCTCGAAGCAATTCGCGGGCGAGATGCACGTACGCCTCGGGGCAATTGGTTCATGACTTTTGGTTGGAGCTGGGCGCGCTCGGATTTAATGCCGTCGATGGCCATTTTCATTTTTGCAGCGTCGGCGTCGAGCTCGCGCTGGACTTCAGCGTGCAGGTCACAGTATATTTCGTACCAGCGGTTTGTGTGTTTGGGGAGGTCGTAGGTGTTCCAGCGGGGGATGTCGCGTTTAATAAGTTCGAGCCAGATTTCTTGGTTTTCTTCCGCGAGCTGGGGGGATAGGACTTCCATTGTGTGCTATATAGAGAAGGAAAGATTAGTTGAATGTTCTTTGCATGTAAATATATAGAAAAAGGGTTGGATGGTAGTGCAAATGTGTGACGTACCAGTTTCTCCGGATTGTCAACTTTCATTAGTATGGGACGAACGAGGGTATACGGGAGATTTCCGATATCAGTCAGCGCTGCATTGGAGGTAGAAGGAATTAGCGATCAATTTGGGATTGTGATCATGTTAACCATTTAGGTAGTTGTCTCTTCCGATGCACTCACATTTCACATGCTTGATTGCCGTGGCTGTCGCCAGGTGTTTCAGCGACGGGGCAGGCATGGTTAGGAAGGTATAGCAATCGACCACAGGCTCTGTGATAGGATGGATGACATTGAATGAGAGCAAACTGAAAGACTGAGCGAGAGCGTGGTTGGGCTGTATATAGATCTATCGAGGGTATTGAACGAGGCTTGTGGACTCGAGGCTGGGGTCATCGGAACAAACGGCGGCCTGAGGCACTGCGGGCGGATCATTGAGCTCATATGTGAGCTCTTATTGGCTAGGCAATTTAGGGGTGGGTGGTGCTTCGTTGACTCGAGTGCATGTGTATATATGTACATGTTTCTGCTAGGGTTTGGATGGAAGAGATTGGAAACAGATTATGGCATAGTAGGAAGTAGGCGAGCCCTTTAACGGCTGTTGTGGTCGACTGAAGTCTTCGCGAAGAATGACGTACTGTCGAAGGCCACAGTGGTACTTGAAAGGCTAAGGTCGATACGTGCTAAATGAAGAAATAGGACCTGAATTGAATGTACAGAAATCTCCTATCTCACTGTACTGCCCGAAAGATACAGACTAAACTTCAGTCCATTTGAGATCGCGAGTTTGCTTCACTAACTGATTGACCGCATACCACGTGACGTCCCTCTCACAAACAAAGCAAACAGAGATTCGATAGCATCATGAGGGGCTGCTCTGGAGGTTTCTTGACACTCCATCGAATTACTCAACGCAAGTATATTCAAGGTACAATAAGGTATGTTCCTTTTTCTTGATATACAATATGTCCAGTTGATCCTCTGTGGATCACCTCAAAGCCACAAAACTTGAGTTTGGCTGTAAAAGAACATACCAAGCTTCCCCTACCCCCTCGCCATACCACGATAGTTTCTGATATCCATGGCCCTGGAGTTACACTGGGACATTGGGATGCGAACGCTCTTATCCTATATTCAATTCATCACAGCTCAATTTATGACGTCACACGCACCACCGGTTGCACCGCAATGACTTCAAACACGCCTCTGACTATCTTCTAGGTCAATCACAATGCCTCCCCGCTCCCAGCTTGAAATCAACACCTCCTCTGTCCTCCGCCTGGTGAAGGAGGAGGCCTCGTATCACCGCGAGGCGGTGGAGCAGGCCGAGCGTATTAAGAAGCTCGAGAACGACAAGAGTGAAGATGAGAACCGCGATTATTTGTTGCAGCAGGAGGTATGTCTGCCGGCACCGGATCCCCCCAGCGCAAAAGCTACTCTTGAATATGCTCATCCGCTACGATAGCTATGGGTAGAGGCTGACTTGAACAGCGCCGGGCTCTGGAGGAGACCAAGAAGGTTTTCCCTTCTTTGAAGAAGAAGCTTGTTGATACTGTGGCGGAGTTGCAGTCCCTGCTTGTGAGTCTTTTATATCTGGATCTTTTGTGTGACGTCGAGAAGTATACTGATGGTTTCTCCAGGCCGAGGAAGCTGCCAAGGGCTCTGAGAGCAATGTGGCGCACATCACTGCGGCGAAGGAGGCCATCGCACAAGCCAAGACTGCGGAGCGTGAGGTCTCTTGAAGGCTTCGTACTCTAAATCCGAGACACCGAAAAATAATACCCAGGCTGATAAGCACAGTCAGACTGATTGAATGATCAAATGAATGTATTCTGAAATTTCTCCAACGGAACGCCGCCAGATCAAGACCGTAAACTCCAGGGCCAGTAATGTACATGCGTAGACACTCCTCAAGAGGTGTCCATCCTCTCATCCGGCAGCTCCTCACCTTCCTCGAGCTCATCTGATAGCTCCCCTGCATCATCAGCGGTGACCTCACCCTCGTCCACCATGTTGGTATCTTCACGATCCGTAGAGCCCTTCTCACCCCCTGCACTGATTGCCTGCCGAAGTGGAGAGGCGGCACCCGTTGCACCAGAGCCCTTCTCGACTTGTAACCGGCCACTCTCGTCCTGGCTATGCTGCGACGGTGTCATGCTCTCACCTTCGGGGAGGGGGCTGTTGGCAGCACTGAGCTTGCCTTTCGAGGCAGCATCGCCCTCATCGCCATCTTCGCCCTCCTGCATACCCTCCCGTCGCTCAACTTCTTCCTTCTCATCACGAATCAAGCGGCGGAGCTGCATTCCTTCCTCGACAATCCGACCAAACTGTTCTCTCCGTTCCGCCCACGTCGTCGCGTAGTCTTTGCTCTCCTTCTCCAACTCCGTAATCTCCATTTGCAGTTTCTGCAGATTCGCCTGCTGGTCTTCCCGCGGCTTCAGCAGGCGGTTGCTGGTAATCTTATCCGCAAGGTCATCATAGGTCTTACGCAGGGCAAGCAACCTTTGCGCTTCCTCTAGTTGACCGCGGAGCTCGGTTGTGTTCTTGCGCACCGACTGCATCGTATCTAGGATGGCTAGCTTCTCGGTCACGTATCGTTGGCGCTCCGCCTCATTGCTATTGAGGAGGAATTGAATGCGGGCAATACTGCCTTCGAAGGCGGCGAAGTCGAGTGTTACATCTTCGCGAAACGTGCGCCATTCTTCGAGTCGTTTTTGTAGTTTCGCTTCTGGGCCTGCGTCCGCGTTGGCATCGGTTTCGTCGGGGGGAGGCGTGAGTGGAAGGGAGGCATTGGAGACGATCAGCGAGTCTGGGTTGAGGAGACGTTTGGAGATGCGCTTGAAGGGTTTCTCTTCGACGTTGAGAAGACGCGACTTGTGGAGGGCGTCTGTGACAGCTGGAATGTCAGTCCTGAGAGGTGGTTGGCATGGGGGTGGCATGGGAACTGACCTTCTTCTGGCTGGCCCAAAAGCCCGTAGGAGGCCATCTCGGGACCGAGGAGGTAATTGAATGGACTACCGTAGCTATGATCAAAGCCCCGATGGAAGCAAATAGCTGTTGAGAGCGATACAGCGAGGGCGATTGTCGCGGGGGTGCACTGGTGAGGGGAGAATCAGAAAAGTGAAGCCGAGCGGTCTGGCGACCAACCCCAAGAATGCAAAGCTGCTTTCCCCGGACATTCCTGTGCCCAGCAGACCTGCGACCCGCAATCCACTTGCCTGATTCTCTCTCTCTCTCTGTCTGGAAGTCTACCACCACCCCCCAGTCTCCCAGAGATCTTGACATTCGAACATCCAAAGCTTGTACTGTAGCCCCGTTCCTCCATCCTTACTTGGTTCCACCCCCTATTTACTTCGATGATGACCGGGTGAGAGTACTACGCCGCGCTTCGCATTCGACCCGCGCGTCCTGCCCCTCGTGACCTCAGGACCATCGCGCTGCGCGGCTTGCACCCTGATGGAACTTGTCGCTCGAGTAGCTGTGACGAGCGTCTCAGTGGCTCGGTCGTTTATACCCTTCTTCCAGTGGTGCGCGGTCTCTATCTCGCCAACATGACGGAGATGTACTCGGGACTCCATGCGGGCCAGCGCTTTTCGTCCTTGGAGGAGTTCAAAACGGTGATTCGAAGCATATCCGTCCGACAGCATTGGGAGCTTCGTGTCATTCGAAGCAATAAGAAGAGTGTGGTGATTGGCTGTCGATCCTCGGCCAATTGCTACTTTCGCGTTGTTTGTCGCTCAAACAAGAACGCGACCTATATTACCAGCCTTCAAGATAGCCACAGTTGCCGAAGAAGTGCTGATTCGCCGGCTGCGACACCCGCACGGTCTGAAGCCTCGCACGTTCGCTTTTTGCTGAGTGAAATCCCGAAGCTCTTCGACATGAAGAGCCGAATCAAAGGCCAGGATGTGGTGGACGCGGTCAAACGCTACCATGGTTATGATATCTCCATGAGACAAGCACAACGCGCATTGACTAAATTACAACCGCGCCAGGCCGATATGCAAGGCGAAAATTCTTTGGATATGGACATGAGTACGGGCGACCAGCAGTCGCCTGGGCCGTCCCTGGCTGAGTCGCCAGGCGAAGTGGGACCGTCCTACCGAGATATCTCAGAGAGCCGCTGGCTTCCAGATCATCTCCCATCCTCACTTATGGACGAAGCATCTGTCAACCCTGCTGGGTCTCCAGACCCTGTAGCTGCACAACCACTACCGCCCCCAAGCGCCCATTCTGTCCGACCTCCTCAGATTCCACAACCACCATCCATTGGAACACCCAACCAGTCCACACTCAGCAATGACCCCCGCCCTATAGTCTCACAGCAAGTGGTCGGATATCCAACGGCTACTCCCTTGTCCGTTGCAGCACCTGAACATCCTAAACCACCGGGGTATCCTCAGCGCAATGATCACCCAGCAGTTCCCCAGATGATTCTGACCAACTTCAAGATTGAGTTCACCTGTACCACCTGCGGCTCTCTTAACCAGAGCTTCTTCCCAAACCAAGGAAATGTCACTGGACCAGGGTACATGTCTCATCATCCGATGCCTGATCAGGCTGCTGTTCCGAGACATCCAGGCCCTACACCCACGAACGTACCTGACGGTAGTAACAATGAGGTTTCAGAGGATGGTGGGTATGGTGTCAACGCTCTCAATGCGCGTGTTATGCATAGTGCATGGGCTACTGGAGGGTTAGGGGTTCCCATTGGTCCGGCGAACTCCTAGTTGTTGAAATGGATACCCCCATCCATTTCTCTCGTTTGCCTTGTTCATTCGGTATTCTCTATTGATCTCTGATTTCTACTCATAGAGGCATATGAAGCCTTTGGATTGACATGAAGCGTATCTTTACCTTAACAACCATGATTGTCAGACATTTTTTAGGGCGATGCCCGGCTTTTCTTTATTTGATACATCTGGAACCAGGCCAGATAGTTCTATTTCAGGACTGAAACTTGAGATACAACTGAACGTTGACCTTCAGTTAACTCTATATTTACATATCCTTATTCTGCGAGCTGGATTGGTAGCACTCGGACTTCACTGGTTATGATGACGACGAGACATGACAGTTGGAAATTGCTTGCTTCTTTTCTATGTGATACCATTCATGTGCTTTGCACTGGCTTACCCCTGCCAATTATTGGATTGTTTGACCATGTTCCAAGTTCTTTCCTCTTCCTAGTTTGCTGTACCTGATCGGTATATAAACAAAGGCTTCTCAGTAAGAAAGGTAAGAGATATCTTTACCAGTCGTACTTTCTCGAAACCTCTGTCATTACATACCTGCTGAACAGGAGATTGATTCGAAGATCATAGTCCTGGCATTCTGTATCACAGACGTGTGGGAACTTCCCAGTGCTGGATCCTAGGCTCCTCCGAAAGGATTCATCAAGAGCTTTTATTCTGGCCTAAGAGTGTGCCTAGTATTAGCGAAAGATATGATCAGCCAGTGCATTACAGTATTGAATGTATAATTCTCCTCCACTTCCCCAGAATCCGCTTCGGACCTTCTCCACATCCTGCACCAACACTGCTGATCTTCCCCACAACAAAACCACGCGTACAATGACCTTCTCAAAGCTCATCAAACACGAATTTCCCATCACAATGGAAGAAATCCAAGCTGTTGAGATTATAGGTCCGCTTTGAAAAGACAATAAAAGCCACGCGAGCGCCACGACATGGGGCCAGTCCCGCGACCACTGCCCTCCCAACCCCTCCCAGCACCAGTGCCACCAGCAGCTTGAGCTCGCCAACACAAAGGGGCTAAATTCGGCAATGAAACAGGGGGCTCAAGTCCCGAAGCTCTCAGAAAAGGCGAGTTGCCGTCACTTAGCCTGCAGCCCTTTCATCGATCGGTTGAATCCACCCGTCCCCCAAGCCTTCTCCTCCACCAATGAGCTCGCTCCTTGTTCCAGCATGACTCCTCCCCATGGGGAAGCTGGAGAGTCAATCCTGTGTTGGTCGTGCTAGGACGAGCTAGGCCGATCGATACCTGTCATGACATGAACCAGCTCCGCATGGCCCCACAGGAGACTTGGGGAAGACTTGTGTCGAGGTGTACGCGGAGCGATGAAGGGGTACATCTGGGGATGGGTTTCGGGCTAAAAAGCCCCCTGGTCTGGCACATCTGGGGAAATTGAAGATCCGCTGTATATGTGGATTTGGGAATTGACTGACTCTGAAGAGTTCGATTTCATTCTGTTCTTTAGGTGGAGCGTATACAGCACGCATCACTCACGACCATGAGCGACAGCCAAGAGAAAAATGGCCTTCGGCTGCATTGGAAGTCGTTGGCGGCTTGCTCGCTGATTTCCATGTCGCCGTTTCAGTATGGAGTGGATTTTACTTTGATCGGTGGTTTCCAGGCCATGATTGGATTTTTGAAGGTAGGTATCACTTTGCCCAGAGAGTTCTGATATCTTGATTGTCTCTATGGATGACAACTCTGACTTTCACCGTTTTCTATAGGTCTTTGGAGAGCCTTCGCCCAACACTTCAATTGGATGGAACATCTCTTCCGAGCGCCAGCAGCTGATTTCTTCGCTTATGACCTTGGGTGCCTTCGTAGGATCATGCTTAGCTGGTATGATCTATGGCTATGATTGACCGGGAAATGGCTAATTCGATAATCCCAGGACCCATCGCAACCTACATCGGCCGGAAGTCGTCTTTGTATCTTGCAGTCCTCCTGATCTATGTTGCAAATGTTGTTATGATGACCACCGATAGTATCGGCGGTCTGTATGCTGGTCGATTAATCATGGGGCTCGGAAACGGTTTCTTAATGACATTCTCCCAGTTGTACATCCAGGTATGTCAGCAATTCTGGATATCCTCAATGCAGGAAAAAGTACTTCAGCGGACTTACATTTATTCCAGGAATGCTCTCCCGCCCGCTACCGCGGCCTCATGCTAGGCGCTTTCCAATTCTGGACTTCCTTCGGCTCCCTTCTCGGAACAATTGTTGACAACTTCACCGCGAAGATAGACGGCAAGAATAGCTATATCATTCCTTTAGGATTGGTATTTATTATTCCCGCTTTCTTGTGCGGTGGTATGTTTTTCATCCCCGAGTCTCCCCGCTGGCTGATGCAGCATGACAAAGTCGAGGAAGCACGCAAAGCGCTTGTCTGGCTCAGGCCTGATCAGGAAACCGTGGACAAGGAGATGGAGGATATTCAGACTGCGATAGAACTAGAGCAGGATATGGCTAATGGTGTATCGATTTGGGACATGTTTGCAAACCCTGTCGATCGGCGCAGAACTATCCTTGCCGTTGCCGCTGTGAGCACTCAGGCTGCTTCTGGTGCTATGTTTATGATTGGTGAGCGCTTTTTTACCCTCTTTCGAAAAACTAAAAAGACGTTCGACGAAGAAACTAACAAGAGCCCCTAGCCTACGGAACTTATTTCTTCGAAATGGCCAATGTCGGCAACGCCTTCGAGAACAGCTGCATTCTCACTGCAATCGGCGTGGTCGCCATCCTGATCAACATCGCAGTCATCACTCACATTGGACGCCGCCGACTCTTCTTGACAGTTGGATTGATACTCTGCGGATTCAGCCAGCTTATTGTCGCAGTTGTCTACACTGTTAACCCGGGTACACTGGCCACTGGGAAAGCCATTGTTGCTCTTTCCGTTCTTTTCATCTTTGCATACAACGGCATGATCTCGACCTATGCTTGGGTCTCGGGTGGAGAGCTCCCCTCTCAGAGACTGAGATCTTATACCTTTGGGCTCGCGGCGGCAGTTGGATTCCTAGGTGCTGTGAGTGAAATAACCCTTGACTCATACGTGTACGCATGCTAATCATCTCCACTTAGTGGTTGACAACCTTCACCGCACCCTACTTCATCAACCCAGACTCTTTGAATTGGGGGTATGCTAGGATTCCTTATTGCGAGACGTTGACCATTGCTGATATTCTGTGCAGTCCAAAGTATGGGTACATTTGGTTCCCTTCCTGCCTCGTCGCCGCTGCCTTTATCTACTTCTACCTACCTGAGGTTAAGGGTCGGACCCTTGAAGAGATTGACGAGATGGTATGTCTCCACAATCGTATTAACCACGGCAATCTACTGACACAGACGCTCACAGTTCGAGCAACGCCTCCCAGCTCGGAAGTTTTCCTCTTACAAGTGTGTTGGTCCGGCAGCACTCGAGCAGAGGCTCAAGGCCGAAGAAAGTCTGGCACATGGGGAAGTTGAAGACAACGAGGCCAGAGATTCAGGTGATTCTGAGAAGGTTGCCACAGAGACTATTGAGAACAAGGTTTGAATGAGCTTCGGGTGACACCTGATCTGGATCAGTCGGCTCACGGAGGAAAGTCAGTGTTGGTAGTGGTTATAGCACAGATAGTAGAAGTGTAATCTTGACACTTGGTCCCACTGAGAGTATTGTCTATTCTATCCAAAATTTATTTACTACCATCAATGGGTTGTGTTCCTTGCTTTCAGTTATCCAACCGACATGATTAATATAACGTCGTAGCCAAACCCTTTTCAGTGAGTCTGTGCAGCTCTCACTAATTTTGTTATTCTGGGAGGAGTTTTCAGACATTGTCGGCAGTTGAATTGCAGTATTGTTCTAGCCCAAGATACCTTACTCATAGTCTTCAACAATTTCCAAGTGAAATACGGTTATTCCTGCAAAGAGCAATTATCTTGTTTCAAATTTTACATGACAAACACAAACCGAGACAAACTATCATGAAAAAGACCCCCATGTTCTGAATCTATCCCGATCTAGTTGCTATGGAAAATATCACTGCAATTGCTTAGCCACCTCGTCATATGTTTCCTCGGCATTCTTTTCAGCGTCAAACTTGAACACCCAATCCTCACGAGGAAGCTGAATGGATGCCGGATCTTTCGCAACTTCATCCCAATCCGCCTTATGCCACATATCACGGGTAGTCTCACCCGTCTTCTGAACGGCCCTCACACGATCATACCGGATCTCTTGGTACGCACGTACCGCAGTAGAGATGTTTCCCTTTCCACCCCGCTTCAGACAAACAGCTAGTACCACTCCATCTTCCATTGCTTGCGTCGCACCTTGGGCGGATGTGGGGAGGAAGGGATGCGCCGAATCACCAAGCAGTGCGATACGCCCGTGATCGCTCACCCACCGGGGCAGTGGGTCTCTGTACACGAGCTTCCAATCGACTACCTCGGGTGTTTTCTCGACGATGGCTTTGCAGATTGGATCCCATCCTTCAATGACCTTATATACGTCTTCGAGCTTGCCCGGGAAGGACCAGGATTCTTCGATATCGGCTTCGTCCTAGTGTTTGGAAACGACTTGGTTAGATTTTGGGAAACAAGTAAGAAGCCGAAGGATCGCCTACCTTGTGAGTTAGAACCCAACAACAGTCTTGCCCGTTCTTAATGGTCGAGAAAAGGAAGTGCACATCAGGCCCAATCCAGCCATTAAATGTGTCGCCATTCTCGCAGAAATGTTTCGTTCGCGGATCACGAATCATATCCGTGTTTGAAAACCTGATTCGAGTCCTTGAGTTAGAACATCAATCGACGAGTGTCGAATAGTATGTGTGATTGACTCACCATGCGCGGTATACAGCATATCCACTCGACTTTGGCTTGTCAAAGTAACCTAGAACGAGCTCGCGTGCCTTGGAGCGCACTCCATCGGCCCCAATAACAACATCTGCGGTGACCTGAGACTGATCAGACCTTTGCGTCACATCCACATAGAAGGCTAGATAAGACGAACCCTTTCCCCGCTGTCAAGAATAATTCCTGCCTCGTTTTCGTCCTCGAAATATTTCGTGACTCTTTGGCCAAGGTGAATGGGAATGCCCAGCTCATCCTTGGCATAATTGAAAACAACAGTGTGTAGCTCGCCTCGGTGACCATTGAATGCTGGCGCCTCTGGATCAGCTGGAGGGGTGAGCTGCGTGTGTACAAGCTCTCCCGTCCACTTGTGGATTTTGAAACCGTGGTCTTTCAAATTAATGCTGAGCGGCCTCAAGCGATCTGCGATAGCTCCGTTTGACCAGCGTCGGTAGATGCGACCTGCGTTAGGACCGAACGAAATGATGTCGCCCAGGGCCTTGGGCTCTGTAGATACATACTCAGGTTAGATAATGGTCTCGGTGCCTGCTAGGATATGTGTGAGTTACCTGGAAATGACTCGTATACTTCCACGGTGTGTCCTTGACGGTGACACTCGATTGCAGCTGTCAAGCCACCAAATCCTGCTTCTTGTCAGATCTTTCAAGTAGGAACATATGAGGTGGACTTGTCCTACCGGCCCCGACAATCACGACCTTGACTCCCGTTGACTTGGCTGTTGAGCCGTTGGATGGCTGAGGGACAGTCATCTTACACGGCTTGTAGATTGTGTGTTCGCAATATTGAGAAGTTCTCTTGCTTCGTTGCAAAGTACGTAAAACGGGTGTACAAGGTGATTTCCTTCAGTCTAAAAACTACGTCAAGTCTTTATTTCCGACGGGTCCTGGAATAACCCCAAGCCAGAACGGCTACAATTTATATTGACAACTGCCGAGCACTATACCAAATGCGTCATCAAATGAGGGCTCGGTCATACTTACCGGTTTCCCCTCACCAATTACCAGCCATGCTTTTGCGACATACAGTCGGAGACAAAGTGGAGAGAGCAACCCTGCGGGGCCTCGGGATCCGTCCAGCCAGATCGATGAAACTGCGTGACTAGTCATTGACGCCCCCGCATCCCCGCAGCGACGAATGTCGATTATCACGAGCGATCGGTTGGATGCTTCCTAGCGAAATGAAATGACAGGCTAAGCTGCTGTGGAGGGTGCTGGTGGGAAGACTTACTTTGTGGGGCTGTGATAGAGTGCAACAATCATTGCGGGGCTGTAGCTGAAACATTTCAGATTTCGGCGCAAGATAATAAATATAGTCTCGAGACATAGAACAGAAAGGATAGTAGGGATAAGGAACATTTCAGACAGTGACAAGGACGTTACAATGGCTACGACGAATTCAGAGTACAACGAAAAGACCACCGCAACAGAAGTTGCGAGTGCATTTGCGAACCAAATCCGAGGTAAAAATGGTCAGTCATAACCCATCGTTTCCCAGAACTGATCAAAAATAGATATTGACTAAGGTCCTAGTGGTAATCACTGGTGTCGGCCCCAACAGTCTTGGTGAAGCCCTTGCATTGGCAATTGGGAGCCAACAGCCTGCCAAATTGTTTCTGGCGTCGCGCACAGAATCCAAAGTCCAACAAGTTGCCGACAAGGTCAAATCGCTATCACCAGGCACTTCAATTGAAGTAGTGGCCTTGAACCTTGCATCTCAAAAATCGATCCATGCTGCCGCATCGAAGATACAAAGCCAAGCCGATCGAGTGGACATACTGATTAATAACGCTGGTATGATGGTACTGGAAAAGGAGACCACTGAGGAGGGCATCGAGATTCAGTTTGGTACCAATCATATCGGACATTTCCTCTTCACGAACCTGCTCATGGATCAGCTGAAGCGTGCCGCTAAATCCTCGGAGATCGGGTCGACTCGAGTCGTTAATGTGACCAGTGCTGGACATCGTTTGTCACCTCTTCGCTTCCATGATTACAACTTCGAGGGCAAAGAATTGCCTCAAGATGAAAGACCCCCTGATGGCTTGCCTCCAATGTTTAGTCCCACTGCGGCTGGGTATAATGGATGGCTGGCGTACGGACAGTCCAAGACAGCCAATATCCTGTTCACCGTCTACTTGACCCAGCACCTGGCATCTGCTGGCATTGTCTCGTATAGTGTTCATCCTGGGTGTAAGTATCTTTCCAAGGTTGAGTTTGAGTCTCTCAATACTGACGGCATGAAGCAATTTGGACCGGTCTCAGTCGAGGCCTGGACGATAGTGGATATGAGACCTTGTCCAAAACTAGCAACTTTTGGAAGACAGGGGATCAAGGTGCCGCGACCATGCTCGTTGCTGCATTCGACCCAGCTTTAAATGGTAAGTCCTTGGCAACTCGGCTTCTCTTTGTAAGGATATCGCTAACCTACTATAGCTGTCTCTGAGCCATCAGCTGTTTATCTCAGCGATTGCCAATTCGCAGAGGCTGTGCCACATGCTGTGAATGTTGAAGCTGCAGAGAAGCTATACCATTTGAGTGAGGAGCTTGTGGGAATGAAGTTTCCGCTGTGATGTCAATTTATGATCAGTGCGATCGAGAGATCCGATCTCTGAGGTCCTGTCCTAATGGGTGCAAAGGGCATGAGTATCGACTTCCAGCTATTTCTGAGCGATTATCGCATTTATCGATTTGTCAACCCATCTAGACAGATTTCACACGGATTTATTTGTAGTTTCCTGAATAAGAATTCCTTATTTTATCTAAAAAAAGCTGCCAGGCGACGTAGCAATTTCTCGATTCTAGACAATCAAACCTGTTCTGCATCGGCAGTCCGATCGGACGTCCGAAAATGTGGACCCACTTTTCCAGCCAATGATATCGAAAGCTGAGGCGGAACTGAGCCGACACTGCTTAAGATTGCCTCCCACCGGTATAGGATTAGGACAAGATGAAGGACTTTTTTCTCTGGCGTCGGAGTCATATCCGACACCAATTCTGTACGGCGGCGAAACTCTCCAATCGAGAATCAGGACAATCTGCCGATGAGCCGGATGACAAAATAGCAATGAGACATTGCAAAAACTTCTCTCGATAATTCTTGATTTCTTCTACTATTTGATATGACCTCGTTCCCACCATTGCCGTTGATTTCATTATCGTTGTGTGGAATTGTTCATGACAACTTAAGCTTGTGCCAAGCCCTTCCGAAGTAGATTACAAGCTCGCTCCATACTACTTGATCAACGTGCATTCCCCCCAATTCGAAGACTCTGAAACCCCAGTCTGATCAGACACAATCTACACGAGCCCAGAGCTAGGGTCCGGGATAGCAATGAATCGGCAACGTGCTGCCGAGAAGGCCTTGCACGATCAGACGAATATTCTCCCGTTTGGGCAACTCATGGTCGTGTTTACAGGCCTCGCAACATCTCTGGTGATTACATTCGTTGATCAAAATGGAATCAGCGTAACATTGCCTACGATCGCTCGGGATCTGGGTGCCCAGGATACAATTTCATGGGCTGGCACTTCATCTTTAATTGCCAATACCATGTTCACCGTGCTTTATGGTCGGCTTTCAGATATTTTCGGCCGTAAGGTCGTCTATCTGTCTGCACTGGTCTTGTTATGCATCGCAGACCTCCTATGTGGGCTTTCTCAAAACCCGGCCATGTTCTACGTGTTTCGAGGTCTGGCTGGTGTCGCTGGTGGTGGTGTTACCTCTTTAACTATGATCATTGTCTCTGATGTGGTCACTTTGGAACAACGTGGAAAATATCAAGGTATATTGGGTGCGTCACTCGGCGTTGGAAACATCATCGGGCCGTTCATTGCTGCGGCATTCATTATGCGCTCAACGTGGCGCGGCTTTTTCTGGATGATCTCTCCACTAGCTGCGCTATCTGCTGTTGTGGGATACTTCTTAATCCCGAATAATGCACAAAACGACCGTTTCCGAAAGAACATCTGCCGAATTGACTGGTACGGTGTGCTGGCTTCATCTATTGGTATCATATTCATTCTGATTCCAATTTCTGGCGGTGGATCGTATTTCACCTGGGATTCACCCATGGTGATCAGTATGCTCATCATCGGAGGCCTATCGTTGATCGCTTTCGCTTTTATTGAGTGGAAAGTGGCTTCCTTGCCCATGCTGCCTAGTATGTGGTCCTATCACCAGTTTCATGATGAGGTTCTTACTGACATGGATATAGTTCAATTTTTCAAAAACCAAGTGATCACCGCCCTCTTATTGCAAAGCTTCCTCCTCGGAGCAGTGTACCAGACTTATCTCTACTACTTGCCCCTTTATTACCAAAATGCTCGTGGCTGGTCCCCCATCGTCTCTGCTGCTATGACAGCGCCCATGGTGGCTTGTCAATCAATGGCTTCTATTTGCTCTGGACAGTATATCTCTCGTCTCAAACGATATGGCGAGATAATTTGGGTGGGCTTTGGCCTCTGGACGTTGTGAGTGCTTACAAAGAGCCGACTATACCTTTTTAGAGGCAAAGCTAACAAACATCCAGGGGCGCCGGTCTAATGTTGCGCTTCAACAATAACACACACCCAGCCGTCATTGCAGTTTGTGTCGGTATCTCCGGCCTAGGAATCGGCTTCACATTCCAGCCGACCCTGGTCGCTCTACAAGCACACTGTACCAAATCGCAGCGTGCTATATCCATTTCTAATCGGAATTTCTTCCGCTGCATGGGTGGTGCGTGTGGTCTGGCAATCTCCGCTGCCATCTTACAAGCTACCCTGCGATCAAACCTTCCGTCAGAATTTTCCTACCTGACGCATTCCTCATACTCGCTTCCATCGCGGTCTACATTGACAGACGCTCAGTGGACGTCGATCCTGCTTGCATACACCAAGGCCTCCCACGCGGTCTTTATATTGCAAGTTCCGCTTATTGGCGTTAGTTTCCTTGCTTGTGTTTTCGTCCGAGATAGGGGCCTTGAGCGACCGAAGGAGCCCGAAGAGATGGAAGAGGAAAAGCGAAAGGCAGAGCAGGCCGAGAGAGATGCTGAAGCAGCTCTACCAGAGGAATCGGAGAATCGCGGCGCTGAAAATAAAGAGATCACTGACCGATGCCAGTCCGTGTCGACTCTTGTGGAGCCATCCATGCCCCCATCTCGTGCCGAGCCAGAGCTCTCGGACCTTGAAGAGAAGAAAACTTCTGATAAACAATAGGGCTCAGGATCAAGGGACAATTTGCTATCGTTTGATCATTTTATTGATTTGCATCATATCTGCATTGCACCATTTCATGGCGTTAGATACCCAGACGCATCGCTAAAATTATGAATATCATACCCAAAATTAATTAATCAAACGAGTTACATTACGTGTCCTTCTTTGTACAGATGAAATTCGAATAATCAACAAAAGTAGCTTGTAGTTGGCCTCGAAAACACATAAGTTCTTATAAGGCCTAAGGTGGTATGTACCTTCCCATGTCTTGGCACTGGGGGCCATCATCGTCTTCGGTTCTTCCTCTGGCCTTTCCATCAGCTTTCATCCCCCATGCGCCGCTCCACGATTCACAACCCTTGAGGAGCTTAAAGAGCCCATGTATTTCCCCTCCGTGCTGCCTTGTACCCAGCAATGAGCCAAGATGTATGCAGCCGGCCACAGTCCGGACTCCTCCAGGCAGACCAGTCCCGCTTCGAAAGACCATAACCCCCGGAAGCGTGGGAGAACCGCGTGCACTCGTTGTAAGACTCGAAAACAAAGAGTAAGAAGCCCTCAAAACCGTGCAGCTCTGAGGATAAGCCCGCTGAAAGACCTTACACCAGTGCGACAACGAGTATCCAACTTGTTCCAACTGTCTGAAGGCTGGGGTCACGTGCGACAAGTCCAGCGTGCGCGACGATGGAGACCGTCAGAATGAGTAAGTCTAAACGCAGCAGAAGCTCGATATTTTACCTGCGCAGGATCATCTGCTGATCAATACCGTAGCTACACGCGGGCCCTGGAAGAAAGAGTCGCTTTTCTGGAAAAAAAGCTCGGACAGTCCGAGTCACCGGCGAGTTACAATGCAGGGGCTAACGTCGCACAATCGGTATGGTCCCCTCAAGGGGGCCAGACAACCTCGCAGACAGCAGCCTCCGGTCTAGACAACAATCCAGTCGGAGAAATCGTGGGCCTCCTAGCTCTTAGCTCCTCCGAGGCTCCAGCCTATGTCGGTTCGAGCTCCGGCCTAGCATTGGCTACAAATCTAGGAGAAATGGTTCAAACCAGCGTGTGGAACCAGTTCATCTCGAGGACACAACCGTATTCAAATACAGGAGCAAATACAGGCTCTCAAAATGCTACAGCTTCCTTGCCAGGATCGTCTCAGCAGGTTGGCAGTGGCTGCCGGAATCGGAGTAACGTGGACCCTCCAACGGATGAGATGGGGTCCAAGATGCTTGAGACATATTTCAGGCGACTCCATACACGGTATCCGTTTTTGGATCGGAATCAGATATGGAAGATGCACGAGGATCGATGGCGATTGGCAAAGGCAAAACGCGAAGATTTGTCACGGTCGGATCGATTTGCTATATTCAAGCTGAACATTGTTTATGCGATCGGTGCCACGATGCTCCAGCTTAGCGAGAAGTATGCATACACTGCTCCCGAGGTAAGACGAACACACCCAGAAAGATAAATCCAACCACTCATTGAGATCCAGCGATACTACACCACCGCCTTGCAGTACGTTCCTACGATGTGCGAGGCCCGGTCTATCGAGAACATAGAGGCAATGGTTCTTCTTGTTATATATCATCTGCGCACCGCATCAAGTCATGGGATGTGGTACATGATCGGACTCGCGATGCGCACAGCCATCGATCTCGGTCTTCACCGAAAAGCAAATGAGATCAATATGGATCCTTTTACTGCTCAGATGCGAAGGCGTCTGTTCTGGGTTGTCTATTACCTGGAACGAGTTGTGTCCATGTCTCTCGGCCGTCCATTCAGTATCTCTGACCGAAACATTGACCTCGACCTACCACTAGACGTGGATGATGATATCCACGACCCTGCGCTTCTAATAGCCCCACAAGACCCAATGAAGACGACAAATCTGACTTTCCCAATTTATCTTTTCAAACTACGCCGGATTGACTCGCGTATCCAGCATAAAATCTACCGTGCTGACCGACCTCTTTCCGCGTTACGGCTGAAGATGGACCCCTTGTACCTTGAACTCGAACAGTGGAAAGAATCGGCCCTCCAAAGGTTCAGTGGCTCGGACCTAGACTACCCTATGCTCCATTATAATAGGGCCGTGAGACTCTTGATCCAGCCTTTTCTCCCTATCCTCCCTATGACCGACCCCTACTATCATATTTGTCTCCAAGCTGCCGGCGAGATTTGCCAATCGCATAAACGTCTTCACCAAACCCTCGAATATGGGCATTCCTTCCTAGCGGTGCAGACTGTCTTCATGGCGGGTATAACCCTGCTATTCGCTCTCTGGACACATACAGATCAAATTTGGTCCGTTCGAATAAGCAACGACATCCGCGCCTGCTCGACTGTGCTTTTCGTTATGGGCGAGAGAGCAGCATGGGTGAAGAAGTATCGAGACGCATTTGAACTCTTGGTCAATGCAGCTATGGAAAAGCTGCAGGGAAATGAGACCGCGCGGAATGCAGGCATGGCCGAGCTCATGACTGCTCAGCACAGCACCGCGTCTTTGAATACTACTGTGCCCGGCATGCCAAGCGTTGAAAAGTTTCCTTCGGCGAATCTGACGGGGCTAGCGCCCGAGACAGCCGCCGCAACAGCAACCGCGCCTCAAACATACCCAGCGGATGATAGTGATGATGCAGTTAGAATGGCTTTGCAACTTGCGCCCTGGATTGACCAGGACCAGAATGACCCCTTGTGGATGCCAGATTTCGAGACTCTAGAAACCTTGTCCGGGACGTTCTGGAGTGGAGCCGATACGACTCTTTTTGACGCGCTATGATCAGATAAAGCTCCTATCAGAATTAATCTCTCAGGGAATGTCAGGAATATCAGAGAACCAGCTGGCGAGATCGGGCAGATCGAATCTTCCGAGGAATCCAAACTCCTCCTGGCCCAGACCCATCTCATCCCAACTCATGAATGGATGGATGTTGGGAGCATGATTGGATCCGGGGTCCAGGGAGCTCGATTCTTCTGACATGGGATCTGCAAGTTGAATAGAAAGAGCTTGCTGCCGAGCACTTCGTTCATATGCCTGTGGCTGGGCGGGTGCAGACGTGCGAGATCCTTCACTTCTCGGTGCCACTAGTTGTATGTTAGTCTCCAACCAGTGATTATGCAGATCCGAAAAGACCCAAGCAGCATCGAGACTCTACATGACGTACCTGTGTAGTTCTGCATGATATACTGGTGGGTAACCTGTAGGAATTGCAGAGAATTGCGTGCGGATAAACTAAAAGATGCCATGTTTGTTAGGATCTCCTCGCATCTCTGCCACGCGGTGTCGACGGCCTGCATATCGACCTGGTCCAGGATCGAGCGACAAGTGTAAGACATGATCAGTACGAAGCCGGCAGTTGATGTATCTATGCAGTTGAGTCAGTCTGGGTCCATTTCAGAGGTATTTAAAAACGTACAGAAGCCATTGTACCACCACGCATCTGTCAGCGAGGTCCTATATGTCTCGTAGACGAGCGAGACCAACTCCATGGCAGCTGTTGCACAGGCCGCTGCGCAGTTAACAGACATGGAAGAGTATATTACGTTCTTCTCCTGTCGTGGGATATCCGTGTTTGCTTCTGGCCCGGTTTGTCGTGCAAGGCCTGCCCGTTGGTCTGAACAGAGTTGTGTGAACATAGGCCGGTATAAGAGAAGGCGAAGGTGGATAAACCTGTAGGAGTCAGAAAGAACACAAGCAGAATACAAAGTGGTTTCCGTTACCTTGCACGAAGAACATTACGCTGGCGCTTGAAGATGGATCCTTGCTGACTCGTAGAGATGTGGGATGCTTGTCCGTTGGTCCAATTTAGGACGGAGGGGACATTTGCTTCATATGAAGATAATTTGTCGTCAAGCTCCATGATGACATCCAGGCTGCTGTGTTTAGAATCTCGGAGCGATGCGGGGCGTTGAAAATTCGAGTGACTTTGCCAGGTATTGTAGATGTCAGACAGAATGGATTCGAGAATCTTGTAAAGCTCAATAGTGGAGACATAGAATGTCATGTATCCAAGTTGATGATCACAAAATTGGCCGCTGAGCTCGCATGGATCATCTGATTGGGATTGGGGTTCCATCACAGGAAGAGGCGTCGGTGAGACCTGGGACGTCATACTGGGTCGACCAAAGGTCATGCTCACGATCCTATGTTAAAGAGGTTAGACATGGCATGTGAATAGGTGTTCAATATAGACACTAACATATCCATGATTACACATCCGTGCCAAGTTCGCCGCCGAATTTCTTTTTCAAGTGGTTTTAGCGAGGATTGAGTCGCCGTTTCATGCAAGCCTAGACCAAGCGCAACCCGACACGCAACACCGATCGCATTCCAACACCGATTCGGATACGGCGTACTTTGGAGCAGTAGCGAAATGATCAACAAAGTTTGAACGACCCCTATCGTACCGGTATCTAAAAGGTCAAGACCAACAAATCGTTTGGACCGGAGGAAAAAGGAGTATGCGGCTGCCTCCCTCTCTGCTGCAGGAATATCAGAAAAATGACATCCAAGACTGAATATCGCGTTGAGTGCACAATGAAACACTATCGACTGATGTCCCGAGTCAAAGGTCCCTCCGAGTCCGATGTTGAGTTCAGGCAGCTCTGGCTTGGCCCATTTACTGGAACCCCAAAGGTTCTCATAGGCTTGTTCGAAGCTGGGACGATGGAAGAAGGGGTATAGACAATATACTCGGTCCCAAAAACATTCAAGAAGATGGTCTGCCAAGGGCCGTGGAGGCAGGGAATAGTCATCAAACTGGAGACCGGTAGTGGGAAAGTTGATATCACGCCACAGTCCTGCATCACCATAAGAACCTCCTGGAGTATCATCTTCTTTGCGCTTCAAGGCCTGCAAATATGACCGTATGGGAATTGAATCCCCGGCGAGCCGCATGAAAGACGCTACGGATGAGTTGCCATAATATTGATCTCGTGGAGAATCGGTGCATTCTCCATCATCGCCGGCGGAAATTGCCCCCATCGCCGTAACGTTTCCATGTGAGTTGAGTGAGGGTGACGGATAGACATTTCCCGAACCTGGATTTTCCAGTGGGGTACCGGCTACATGCCCGGATGATCTTCTGGTTGCTTGGTTGGAGTGCATGGAAGCTCTAGTCGTCTGTTGAGGTGCGGCTGTCGGTGAAAGAATTGACGCCAAAGAAGGGTGTCGGAAACCGGCCAAGGATGCTGTCGAGCCCAGTCCCAGGAGCCCTTCGGCCGCTACGGAAGTCCTGGACTCTGTATCGAGTGTCTTAGAGGACGACTGTGGCTCTTGAGAAGCACTTGGACCTCTACTCTGTCCTTCCTGGATATCATGGGATGATGCTCGAGGAACAGAAACCCCGTTACGGGCACATGTTTCCTCAAGCTCCCGAATTCGGTCATGCAGGACCTTGAGATAAGCATCGTTACTCGCAGAACGTGCATTCTCGATCTTGTATACACATTGTTCAATTGCATAGGATCGTCGAGCACAAGGCCCACAGATCGGCTTCTCTCCATCACATCGTACCTGCGATACGCTATCAACAATAGCCCGTGTGAGACTAGTTTTCATAACAAACCTTTTTGTCTCTGCAGGTCTCACAAGCTAGCGCGATTTTGCGACGCCGGGGAGTGCCGCGTTTGGTAATGTTACTTTTTGAGGACATCATGCTCCAGACATGGCCGATCAATGTGCATTGGGGGTAGATTTGTTGCCGGCACCGCTGAGGACGAGCGACAAGGACCAATGAGGATCAGTGGTGGCGAGCGAGCTACTGTAACTTTCAACAACGGGAAAGCACATTCACGGATCGGTCGAGAACAGACGCTCCGACTCGTGGAATGATGACGGGGAAGGGTCAAAGGGGAAGGGCATCGCCGGGATAGACCCGGATATCATCACGTGATATACCCCGGAGTCGGGGGAATTGTAAGATTTTGCAGATCACACATGCCTAGGGTTTTTGTTGATTATATATCAGTGATTCAGAGTTTAGCATTGTTCAAATGAAGCTAGAGTGCATTTTGCCAGTATATGGCGAAGGTTCCGCAAGGATAGTTTTCCTTTGTTGGGGCGGGGCTTCGGAATGCACCCGGACTTTCCTCGAACTATGTGGGGGCCCTTGCCTGTCTAGGTATGTTGGGGAGAGCTATAGAAGATGAACCTGTCTCGCGCCGGTAAAGTTGCAACAAGAAATAGTACTGTAGGATAAAAAATACCTTGCTGTGAATTTTGCATCCATTTGGTTTCAGTACATGTAATGCTGGAATCAGCACCTAAATATCCCCTTAAACTCAACTTCTCCCGCACTTCGCAACAGCAACGGAACGAACATACTTGCGAATTTTCAAGAGCTACGCACATACTAGAACGAAAAAAGGCAGTGTAGCCTTTCAGAAATCCTGCCACCAGGCTCAATGGTTTGAAATAATCATCTTACCATACTGGAAGGCGAACGCGGCAAAATGTAACCATAGCTCTCGGGAAGCACCCGAGTCAGACAGACGATCCGGGTCCAAGCCGGTGTTGACGTATAGTGGCAGCCTGTCATCTAGCAAGCCTCACAAGCCGCCTTCATTTGAATTTAAATCTATAATATCACAAGGAGTTACCCCCTGTGCTCGAACTCCGGGGCATCCGCCGCCTATACTTATCTTGAACGTGGTCCCAGAGAGTGAAGAATCTAAAGCACACGACACGATACATCAACACGACCAAGCAAGCACAGCGGAGAAGCCAGCCTAGCGCCTCCATATCCTTCACCATATAACTCACTTTGATTTCGAATACAAACGACACATATCAAATTCATCAGTCAAATACATAATCAATGCAAACCGAACACCAACCTCAAACCCACGTCCACGACCAGCATGGATGTTGTTCCGGAATGGGAACTCAACAATACACACCAACAACACAACGCATACCCCTAGATAGAGGTCTACAATGGGGATCTGATCCAAACTTCTGCTACCACGGCTTCTCCTGTCCGATCGGAAGCTGGACCGAAGAGCGCCTCGTCAGGAATGCAATGCGGAACATGGCCTACATGGCCAGCAGCGTCAAAGCAGAGTTCAACCTCGACTTTAACATATCCGACTACATAAACGACCATAGATCCGAAGAAACGGACGTGGTTCGATTGAACGGGTTAAATTTCTCACCCACCGAGAGAGCGGATGACCTTCGCAGTCCGACGCCGCCATCCACAGCCTCGCCGTCGAGCACATCAAGTCCTAGAAGGCAGGAGGTAGATTTGCAGCCGCCAAATAAGAAGAGGAAGTGTGTGCAGAAGCCTGGGCAGAAGTTGTGTCATTGTCGCTCGGAGAAGAAGAGGAGGGAGGCTGTTAGCCAGGGATATCGGGATCTGTCGCAGGTTGTGCCCGGGCTGGAAGGTCAAAATTTTACGAGAAAATATGTTTTGAATGCGACGGCACAATATTTAGAGCAGCTTTTACATGGAAATGAGGACTTGAAGAGGCAACTGGGTGAGATGACAGATCAAGAAGAGAAAGATATTGAAAAACTGTTGCTGGGGTGCGAGTCGGAGGTATGACTTGGTCTCAGGGTTATTCAAAAATCACGCGCTACGATATGGAGTTATAAGGATTGTTTCAGAATGGGCTTCGATAAGCTATGTGTGGGAAAAGAACAAGGAGTTAAGGTGTTATTTCTATTGCTTGGAACATATGGGATTCAGAACAGATTAGAGTAATAGACAACATCACTAAATTTTTGTCAAAACAGACTTCAAAGCACGGAATACACACAAGGACAATACGAATATGGCGGGTAAACCGGTTGAGCGATATGCGACTTTTAAATGGAGATCAAACAGACTCTAGTGCATGTTGAAGTACACTTGTCTATACGAAAAAACCGACTCTCGGAACTGCGCCGCGCGCTCACTGAGATTCCGTGGCAACCTCATCATCTTCTTGCTTCAGGCGGTGTTCACTTGCATGTTTCATGAACGACAACAGCCGCTGACGACGGTAGTAAATATTTGTCAAGTCTACACGGGCGCCAGCCTCTGCGTCATTCTGCCCCGTGATCAGGATCAACATGAAGAAAGTTTCAAGGATACTGGGAGGCACGTTCGAGATCAACTGTCCAGTCAGACTCCAGCGCATGGCACTAGATGCAACCAAGCAGCCGATGGTGACGATGAAGCCGGCGACGACCATGAGAAGGTGGGAACTGACAGCATCCATCTTTCGTGAGACCCGACGGCTGAGAGACGGGGCTTTGACATCCTTCACGGCAGGAATTGGGACGGACAACCCGGCGAACAGTGCCATGTCAAATGCCTCTACATGGCGAACCTGAGACTTGGTATTCTGATGTACCTTGTTCTGGACATTGCGGAGGACGAAGCTGTCAAACAGTCCGACCAGCCCGGCATAGGTCCCGATGAGCAGCCACCAGGTATTGTTGAAATGGAAGACCGGGCCGACGGCTGCCCAGGTGATGATCACTGCTATGAGGAATAGAATTCCCACGAGTGTGCCGATGATATCGGCGTAGTAGTAGATCACCTTCTGGAGGTAGTTCTCTTTTGGCGGGACATTGACTTCAACAGGATTTGGCACGTCGTCTTCGCTAAGAAGACGAAGCTCACTCTCGAGAGTGGAGTCGAGCCGGAAGATTGCATCCAAACAAGTGTTGGTATAATCGGCATAACATTCCCGTAGGCAGGCAAGGAATGCAAAAACCAGGACCATCAGAGCGGACGTGGCATCGTTGATGTATAGCTGCCAGCGATTGGACCAGTTGCACTTTGGACCAAAGCCAAGCCAGATGAAGATGCAGACCCAATACATGCCGACTGTGACGATATGGCCAAACTTCTTCGCCGAGAAGATGATGCACCGGGCAAACAGAGTCTGTGTACGCAACCCGTGGTCCAGAGGCTCCAGTGGCTCGTCTTTACACTTCTCCGCCACTTCTCGAATCCCCTCTGGCCCCAGCTTATTCTTAACTTTGAGAAGCATGCGGTGGTGACTATTGCAGCGCGATTGGATTTTGACCATGGCCTCACGCTGCTCGGTGTATTCACGAAGAAGCTGTCGCATCAGGAGGGAGTCGAAAACATAGCACAGAATAGCCTGGACATCGGAGATGGCAGCTACCCAGACATCCGAGTCGCCGAAGCGAATACCCATCAGGGCCCAGGTCAAGAGGCCACTAACAATAACCAGGAAGACGGGAGCGGAACCAGCGAATCGCACAAGGGTATCAAGCCAGCGGTCCACGAGGCGGGAACTTGCGTTGACCCTGTATCCAGATACCTTCTCAGCAGCCACGACGGTATTGATATCATTTTTCGCATATTGTACACTTGCCACTTGCTGTGTCTCCGCAGCTCCTTTCACCTCGCACAAGAAAACGGGCTTGAAGCTCTTCATTGTGACTCGCTGAGTAATTGCCAGCAGGATGTTGGATCCGATACAATGCAATCGCGCAACGAGAGTTTTCCTTCAAGCCTTGTTGGCACCCGTGTCAAATTAAGGTGGTCGAGTCTCGTCTGCAGATACACGAGAGAGTCTCAGGGCAGCCAGAATGCCGAGGGTAGAGGAAGCAACGGAGTAGGGAGTGTTCATCGAGCGAAGATCAGCCATTCAGAGTCAACAATCAACACGATGTGTTGTAGGAGCGTTGGAAATCGTCGAAAGGTGTTGGTTAGAGCAAGAGTGAAGAGGGAGAAAAAGAAGGGTAGTGTTTGAGGGAGGAAAATAGAGTAAAATAGAAGGAAAGAACGGGAAAACTTTGCTGCTGCAAATAAAGTGGGATAGTAAATCCCTCAGTCAGACTCATTTGGGAAAGACAGCGTAGCCATGCTAAATTGGCACACTCTGCAGAGGATCTGATGCGGCATTTTCTACGTGCAATAATATGCTTGTATGTAGTGGGTGACCCTCGAAGGCCCACCTCGTGTTTACAATCAGTTACGAATTTTCTATGAACTAGGAGGGAAAATTATCATTTGGTGAAGGAATAAGGGAAAATAAAATCTGTGGTTGACCCGCGTGGGTTGGTGTCGGAACAATGACGAGGCCAGGCAACCACAATTCGATTAAAGTTGGACGGGAGCCAGCCCTACCAGGCCCTGATTCTGACCTTTTCTTTCCTTCGTCAAAGCTCCAGAGTTTTCTAGGCATGGTACTCGGCTTTCACCGCTGTTTCCAGACGTCTACCAACCATGGATCGCTTTCAAACAGGCATGGTCTCTTGAGTATAGTATTCGCGGGCCGTATAAAATTGGCGCCGGGGTTTGTTGACTCTACCCAGTTGACTCAAGTAGATCCAGACCAACCATCACATACTATAATAAGCATTGCTGAGACTATAATGTAGCCCACTATGGGCTGGGTGTAGGCTGGTGCGAATTGGTGGCTATTGTCTGTGCTCGGAAGATAGTTCGGGCCCGTCGAACCTTATCAACAGACACGACCAGTACGGAATCGCTAGCATGATTCGAGTGCCCAATTGGGACTGGCAATCTTTGGGTTTCGCCGAGATACCCGACTCACGGACTATAGTTTATTTCCCGATGCTTTACTAGATTTTCTTGGCAGTATCAATATTATCTTAATATTGTACCTAGTGTAGGAATGGAAGGTGCATAATAAATACACTGATCATACCGTCAATTGCACCGTGCAAAACAGGCAGATATCGTGTCCAAGAGGCAACATAGCCGAGTTTGAATAGATTTTATTGGATAGTGAAAGGCCTTCCTCAATTTCATTCAATCCAGTGCTATGCCTCAACGAAAGGAGATGTAAGACTTTGCATTTGCTCGCTATTTGTGTATTGCATCGGAAATTTAAAAACAACCTAGCAAAAAGAATGAAAAGAAAAAGCCTATATCGGGACGAATGTGCAAAATTTACCCTCGTTGGGGGATGAGCCCTATCCACATTTGCACAGCCTGAACTCCGCCACCTTGCCCAGCGCCGTCGAAAAACCGATAACGATCTGTACTATCCTGCTAGATTGACGTTCAGAATTAACTCAAATATCCTATAATCTCCATAGCTCTGGAATAGGTTATATACCTTCACAGGATGCCGCCATCACTCGAGTTCCAGCAGAATCCTCGTGGCTCACACAGGTCCAGAAGAAGGTCCTCTATGTCGAGTTCCGAATCTGCATGGGAAGATAGGAGGCGATCGGAGGGGGTTTCCAGACTTTGTTGCAGATGTCGGCGCTGCTGCTGGCTCGGTGGGGTTTCGAAACGCTCCTCCAAGGTGGCTGGCTCGGTGGAGACGGTATGGATGGAGGCCGTATCGTCGTCTTTTTCAGCTAGAGTCATGCTCTCATTATCTCCACAATCCTCCTCCTCTCCACTCTCTTCGTCATCTGCTTCATAATCATGATCTTGTGTGCCGATGGTGGAGAGGCAGGGGCGGCTAGTAGATAATGACTTATTTGCTGCTTGGGGCTCAGGGATCGAAGCTTCGCTTTCAGTTGATGAGGTGGCGCCCTCGTCTTGAATAGGCCGCGCAGTTTTCCGGGTGGAAGGTATGATGAGTTGTTCGAAGGGAGATAGGCAATCAAAGATAAACGAATATTTCGGAATAGATGCCAGAGATTCGAGATAGAGAGTTCAGATACGGAAAGACTCGTTTCTGACATGAAGTGATGAAGTGAGAGAAGCTCTCTGGGTGCCTTCCCTCTCGCCTTCCACTCGCCAGAGAAGCCCTGCGTAGAATCTGCTATCAACATGCTCTCACGCTGGGCACCATTGGTACTTCAGTAGTGGAAGGGCTTCATAAAACCGACTAGCAATTTCACAGTATTGTTCTTCTAGACCTACCTGCCAGAGTTTCCTACAAGTGACTATGACTATTCCACTGAATGTTAAAGTTAATCACTCTTGACATGAAGCCCTAGTGGTGTACACAAATTGATTTCATCATATTAATTCATTTGAGTATGGTAGTCGGGGTTATGAAAATTTCCACGGGCGAAGATATACTCATCATGATCATCAGAGTTATAGGCTCGCAAAGAGTAATTACATTATGTTGGCAATCAGGTCAGTTTATCTTGTTTCTCACAGACAGAAGACGACCATAACCATATAGGAGTTTACAATACCAGTTCCCTCAAAACCAAGCAAGATATGCGCAGATACATACACGATGCCACCAGGTAGCAAAGAGGTTGGTTAAACATTCAACCTGCAGGTTCAAGCTCCTTAGACCGCAAACGTGGTAATAGATGATATTGCAAATATGAACAGAACTGTTCCTTTGTCTGTGATGCCCGGATAATCAGAATTCATTGTTGCGTATGCCAGAATTAGATGCTTCTACTTGCGGGTCCCTCCAAGTCAAGTAAATTGACAAGTGATGCTTTAACTTCATATTCAATTTTTTAACCGATGGACGCCCGTAAATGATTCTCCTATACGGGACAGTGATAATAATAGATAAAAGATAGCTAGCTCTAAACCGTAGGTAACACCCAAATATTCCTGCTATCCACCCCCTCTGCAAAGTTCTAATCAAAATCCGTGCTTCCAGTATGACGGGTGATGAGAATCGTGGAATACCTTAATAACTTGGCGGATGTTCTGCGCGCGAGTGATCGAAGACACGTCCGGTTGAACACATTAAAGTCCTCTTGCACCGTATATGTCGTGTGTGTAGGTGCCAAATTGACGAGCCCTCCGACTTTTCAGCTTCGGCTGGTTCAGCGCATGGAAGGGAAAGTTTCCAAGGCGCGTGAGCTTTTGTTTGCTTTTTTTCTTTCGCTGGCAATTTGCATTGCACTTCTTTGTCCGTACGCGGCGGACGAGCTTGGTAGTGCCTCAGTGATTCTCTCAATGGCCTTGGCTTTTACCCGTAATTGGAGTATCTGGCCGCCCATTGTAGGTGGAAGGTCTGGATACTGGCCTCGAGCGGTAATGTGAGAATCACACATGTATGATGACTACTCCCATGGTCACGGGGTAGATCCTCGTGCTTCAGGGCTTTTTACAGTCACGGTATGAAATGTGTATGCATAAAGGTATGGCCATGCTATTCATCAGGGATGAGGTGCAGATGGAGATGAGGTGTTGGAACAGGTTTTATTGTGATTGGGGCGATTCGATATCTGGAATTGTGTCATGCACCAATGGGTTGGTAATTAGTCGAACTTAACTATGAGAGCGACTTCATGGGTAGTTCAATCTCGTTGGATCCCGCGGCAAGAAATGTAAAGACACACAGTTTTTGGAATGGTCAATGCGGCTTTCGGGTAATTATCTTCTTTAGTGCCTGGAAATTGGAGACATGGACAGTCAGTCTTTATATAATATTTCAGGTATCCAGCCAGACAGGTAATAGAGAGCAATCTGAGTATCAATGAACGGGTAGAAGAACTCACATGTTGGTCATTGATGCCTGCCATCAATGTGGTAAGTTTCCTCTCTGGCGAGCCAGCCTATCCATGAATCGATCCATCGCGGTCTCACAGGGTAAATCGCTTTCTAAGTGCGCTGTCAATGCCGAATTTGTAGAATAGGATATCCAGCTCCTGTCCTTCAACAAACAGTGGACACCACTTTCATTGTCTTGGCATTGAGATCAGACAACATCAGGCCCAGTAAAGGTACCCAGGCCGGGGCTGAGTCGTTGCCACGGTAGACCAGGAAGTAGAAACCCGTATCCTGCAGTACGAGTGAGTCCTTATCAGAATATTGACGCAACCAACTGTCAGAGGGGAATTTAATCAGTCACTGATTTGAACGCGCGGAGGATTCATCAATAAGGCCAGGGTAATAACGCACAGGGTCAGAAGGACGAGAGGTAGAAGTGGAATTATTCGGTTAGACCTAGATGATGGCTTCTTCCGGATTGTTTCCTTGGTTCCAAATCTCATCCTGTTCAATGATGAAAATCTGTGTTTGAGTTCCTGAAATAACCGAAGAATGATTTACTGCCCCGTCGAAACCTTTCATCTCCTCGTAGGCGTGGCGAAGTCCCCGATGGTAAATTGCACCACTGCCAGAAGTTTACAACGTAATAAAAGATGTCGGAATAGCATTTGCCCAGCGATAGAATCCACGTGTTCTATTCTTCCCCAGTCAGCCAGGCTTACTGCATATCTAGCGAACGACAGAAACCCGAGAGACGCTATACGTACTTCAACCCGATGTATACAAAAGGCATGTCAGAACAACGACCCGAGCACAGATCATGACGACGTTGGAGATACTTGCAACATAGCCTGCTATTGTTGGTTAACCTCTCATGAAAAGGGGAAAAGCCTTGACAACAGGTCAAGGCGGAGTGCGTTGGGAAAAACTCACGGAGTCCGGTTCCACCAGCTTTCAATGCCACCACCCTCTACACTTTTCGTCATGCCAAAGGACCATTGATACTCAGTGGTTTCATTTTGTATCTCTCCATTCCTGGAACGAGAGACTACCATGCAGTTGGCGTACAGGCACCGAGAACAAGGATCCACTCGTAGCTTCGTTCATGATAGGGCGCTAATCGCGCCACTACGCAGAGGAAGCAGGAAGGGAAAAGATCTAGCAGATTCGAAGCTAGCTGAGAAGATGCTAAAAGGGACGAAGAAGGAAAAGACGAAGAAGCAGGCCTAAATAGGCCTCGAAAGGTAAGCACAAACGCCAAGTGCTGTCCTGAAATCCTCCATCAGTTCAGGAGGTATTGCTGTGGTCAGGTTGCTCATCCATTCTTCAGGCCGTTCCTTCATTGTCGAGTCATGCACAAACAGCGGATAGACAAGGCTCAATCCAAAGATGCAGTGTAATATTCAGATGCTGGTATTGTGAGAGACCAGTCTTAGTTGGCCAAGGTTATTGAAAAGGATCAAGTCGGAGGAGGAGGTGAGAGGACCTGATGTAATTCTCAAGGGCTTGGTAGGGTTGGAGGGACCGCCCATTGTGTAAGATCATGACGTTCACGGTAATCACAGAGGGGAAAGATTTCGAAAGTCAGAGTCGCATGCATATATATAGAAGGAGATCGAGAAAGTCTCATACATATACGAGTGGAGAATTATGGAGGAAAGTTCATTCTAGGAAGGGAGACAGCCCCCTTTTATAAGTCTATTACCATAACAGCAAACGAGATTCGCTTAGAAATCGCGCAGGGAATGTCCAGTTATACATCAAGCAAACAAAAGCAAGGTAGATAGACCTCATTACCAAAATATCTGCATCAAACAACACAGCCCAGCCCAGCCCGTCCATGACTCCCCACAAACGCTACTCAAAGAGCAGGTGCATAAGTGGCCAACCCCTTAGCCAACCGCTGAATCTGACCAGCATAATACGTCTGAAATACATCCAAAAAAAGTCAGCATCATCCTTTCCAACCAGGGTAATCTCAAAACTCACACTCTCAGCGCCAGCCCCAATCAAATTCCTCGGCAACCACGACACATACCACGGCACCGGCGCCTTCTCCAACAAAAGCTTCGCCTTCTCATCCGGAACCTGTTCATCCAACAAAAGCAACGGAAACTTCGGATCCACCGCCGCCGGCCTCCCAATACCCACCAAATCACAAGCCCCATCGTTGATAGCCGCCTCCGCGCCCGCGCGCGTCCTAAACCCACCCGTCAACATCAGCACCAGCTCCGGATGCCTCTCGCGCACGGTATGAGCAAACTCGAGGAAGAAGGCCTCGCGGGCCGCGGTGCGGGCGGACTTGGCCGTGGACTGGGCGTTGGGTGAGGGGTTGGGGTAGCCCATCATCTGGGGGTCTTCGTAGGTGCCGCCGCTGATTTCGAGGAAGTCGAGGCCGGCGGAGACGAGGAGGGCGATTTGGGTCATTGTTTCTTCGAAGGTGGTGGAGCTGTGGTCGGCGGAGTTGAGTTTGATGCCGATTGCGAAGGTCGGGGGTACCGCTTTGCGGGTTTCGGTTAGGATGTCTAGGACGAAGCGCGCGCGGTTTTCGGGGGTGCCGCCGTATTCGTCGGTGCGGTGGTTTGTCTGGTTATGAGAGAGTGAGGTTAGTTATGGATGGGATGGGATGGGATGGTCGATGTGGTGACGGTGGTCTATAGACCCAGGTGGGAAGGTGAGTCGTTGTGTATTACCTTGCTGTTGAGGAATTGATCTATACCTCCGTTAGCAGACTATCCCAATATCCCAGCTTTATACGAATCACGAATAACAACTCACCAAGCAAATACCCATGCGCACCATGCAACTCAATCCCCGAAAAGCCCGCATCAGCCATCAACCTCGCCGTATCCACAAACTGCCGAATAACCCTCTCGATATCCCCCCTCGTCATCTCCCGCGGACTACTCCACGTCACGCACGCAATAACCTTCTCCATCAGTCCA